CTGTTGGAATCCAGAGGAAACCTCCCGGCTGGTTCTGAGCACAGCGTTACCAGACGGACTATTAGACGCGAACTAAAGCGGAGCCTGCCTACTGACAAGGAAGCCTGGTGGTAGCACTCAATAAATACAGGAGCAGTAGGTAATTACCGCATGCTCTTCCAGCTGATACGCATCACTGGTCCCAAAAAAAGCAGGCATCAGTGCGACAGTTAGAGAGCGCGGGTGTCTCGGGCTAAACACTCATGATCAGTTCATCTGACCCTTTACTCCTGGACCTCTTCCTACTCAGGTGTTGTAGAACTAGCCGTGGCCGTTTAATTTATAGGCTCCATCGGAGGCTGAGGTCATAAACGCGATCACAGCCCACAATCGTTTTCATGCTACCGGCCCGGATTCCCTGCCACCTGCACTATCTAAGGATGGAGGTGAGGTCCTCTGCAAAGCACTGACCTATTTGAACAATGTCCCGGCTGTCTGTAGTGAGTCGATATATAGTGGCAATATACGAGAAGGGCAGTCGCACCGACGGTGCTAATTACAGTGGTACTATCTCAGCGCCATTTGTGACAAAATTACTAGCCTCGATTCTCCTCCTTCGCCTCATTGTGGAACGGGAATCTCTGCTTATGGAATAGCAGGCAGGTTTCCGTCTATGACTTGGCTGTATAGACCATCTATCCACTTTGCGCCAGGTGCTAGAGCAGTGCCACGCATATCGATTACAAGAGTGCGCTGGATTCAGTAGGTCGATGCATTCTGTTCGAAATACTTGCTTGGAAAGGTGTCTCCGCGAAATATGTGAACATCTTACTCGCTCCATACTGGAACACTACGGCCTGTGTCAGGGTCTACGGTGACCTGTCGGATATATTTTTGGCCACAAGTGGCCTTCGTCAGAGTTGTCTCATTTCCACCTTTTTGTTCAATTTCGTCGTAGACTCCATCACGGAGTGTTCCCTTAAGGAATCTTACGATGTAGGCGTCAAGGCCCTGCCTGTTGAAAAAGTAGTTTATCTTGATCATGCGCCCGATATCGTCTTGCTTTTCAACGATGCAGCGCCGTCACAATTAATTCTGAATAAACTGTCTGGTCCCATTATTTGCTATGCGCTTCCTACCTCCAAAGTGCTAAGTGTCGCTGCAGGACCACCAGCCACTTGATGTCTCATTGGCCCATGATAATGAGGAACTCGCGGTGGTTGATCAATTCACTGACCTTGGAAGCTGCACCAGTATCGATGGGCGCATAGAAACTGAAGTCAGTTCCCGGATTGCAAAAGCCAAAACTGCCTTCTTGAACCTGCGGCATCTTTGGCGCCAGAAGGGAGTTCCCCTCCGTCTTAAAGGCCGTGTATACAAGGCCACAGTGAGGACCGTCCGCCTTTCGGTCTGAAGATCTGAGGCGCCTTTAAGTCTTCGATCATCGTTGTCTGCAGAGCATTGCTGGTGTCGGGTAGCACCAGCGTGTCCTCAACAGTGATGTGCGTAGGCGAGTACTATGCAGTGTTAACCAAGCTAGTTCTTTAGAACCACAGATAGCACTGAATAAGTTGCGTTTGCTCGGACACGTGCTATGTATGCCTGGTCACCTCTTACCTAGGTGGGTCTTGTTGTTTAGTCTTCCAGGTGTAGAGTGGCGCATGGCTCGAGGTGGACAAAAGTTGCTCTGGCAGCGGGAAATGAAGTCAGTAACAACCAAACTGATGCCGTCGGTCCGTCTCGCCTTCCAGGCTGGAGTCCACGTAACTCGCCTTGTGCTTGGTTCGAGACTACAGGATATGGCTCGCAGTCGGCACAAGTGGCGCGTCTGCTGCCGTCTCCTAGTCGGACTGCTTGTTTAAAGTGTGTTTCGTGCTGAGTTATCTGCGGGGTAATGGCTGATTATTACGCGTGGCAAAAAAGCTGTCTCGCCGATGCCGCCTTATCTTTGCACGATAGCCAGCTTTTTGTGACGGTATGTTGACTACACAAGGTGTAGGCGCCTTGACGCTGAATGTTTGCTTAGAGCATTAAGGTTTTCAGATAAGTCCCCCTTCTCCATTTTTATTCTTCCTTATTCCGTAGGTGATCATGGTTGTATAGCAGCGAAGCGTCAGTTCAAGTGGCTGATGTACTGCTACTGTTTATTTTGTTATTTTTAAGCAGACTATTTCTTTAACCTGATCTTCGTTTACCAATTAGAGGTCTTTGGATTTATACTTTGTAGGACATATTACACACATTTTCTCAGAAACTTAATTTTACACCGACTTTCACTCATTTTCGTTTCTATCGTTTTGCCGAGAGTCTGTTGAGTTACGGAGAGGCTCCGTATTCTATGAAATGTTGCCTGTTACTCACCTCCAGTCCCACTGTACTACCGTTAGAATTCCTAGCTTGCCTAACCTTTCCTGACCTGATTTCCGCGTAGCAAGTTGTTTTCCTGGTAGTTTCTCGATTCAATAGCTTCTTAGAACGTACGGATACTCCCACTTCTGCCCCCTCTATCGTTTGCTGTAGTGGCCGTTCATTCTGGCGTATCGTTTTAACAGCGGTGATTAGGAATTCCATCGAGCCACAGTGTAGTCCCAATCAACGTGTCTGCAAAGCTAGTAACCTTTAGACTCGTTGATTAATTAATGCGCTATTTAATATTTGCCACTCCACTTGACTATCTCGCTGTATCTAGCTCCCCTGTGATTTAACCACGTCTTAAGACGCTTTTACTCTCTTTGAACTGCTTCAGTGTGATCATGCTGATGACTTAAAGTCGGCGGTAGTTTCTATCATTGCGCAGAAGAATGAAAAGGTTAAGTAAATGGGATATAGGTGGTATGGGCAGTCACTGGACTGAGCATAGCGCGAGGTCGACCGCATCTAAATGGATTCGAGCCGGTGATCTTCGGGCTACTAAGCGAACGCGTAATCCTGCCGGCCACCGGCCGATACAGAGGTTTGCTTTCCTGGTTGATAAACCAACATTTGGAATGCCTGGCTGGATTTCGAAATCTATTCCCAGCTTAGCCATGTAAAATAGTGTCCCTAACTATTGATGTCCTTGTTTACGTCTGCTTCCAGAGTAGCAACAGTGACGTGTGGTTGAGACTTCAATTACCTCTACTGTTTCCTCGCTTGGATTACATCACACTTGCTGCCATCTGTTTGGCTTAGGTTATGTAAACGTAGTCCAGTTAGGAATTTCCATAAATTGTCTGAGGTTTTGTCGGAACTCGCTAACTGAATATGTGGAAGTGACAGCACCAACACTACCATTTTGTTTGATGCGTTACTGACTCTAGTCCTCATGACCTCGTCAACTTCTAAACAGTCGCCTCACGACTAGCAGTCTATGTGTCGCCTTACTTTTTGAAGAGCCACGTATTTATTTCGAATTGGCGCTCGTCTGTTACTATGGCAGTGTGCAACTGCCCGGATATTTTCACCGATCCGGCTTTAGTCTCTTTTGTGTTGTTTTTTTACTCTTTTTTGACCCTGGCAAGTGGCCAGAAAGACCACACACCAACCTTCTAATCCGGAGCTCACGGGTTCTAACCCGCATTGTGGAGACCAAGCGACCTTCGCAGTGTCAACCCACGCGCGTGACAACATAGCATCGGCACTGAGTACTGATGGTTTGGTAGTTTAGGTATTATTTTGCCTCGTCGAGACTTGCGGTCTAAAAAATTTCGAACACTAAACCTGCTTGTTTTCAACCATTTTTTGCCACATGACATTTTTACCATCTGTTTTGTGGGGTTTGTACTCTACTCTTACTTTGAACCTATATACTATCTTACGAATTGTTTGGCTAAGTTCTACCGGATACATATCGTTTGTACTTTACTTTGGTTGCATTCTGCTCATCAAGTTCAACAACTGACTTTGGAGAGTATCGGAGCTGCATTGTTGGGAGAAAGCAGCTCCGACAATCTCCACTTCGGATGCACTCCCAGTGATCGAAATGACATGTTATCTCCAAAGCGAACTGTAGCCTCAATCGAGATTGCGTATCGCAGTCCAGGCACGGCCGGGTACTCCAAAGCCCGCTAAAGAACCGCCTTTGCTTCGTTTGTAGCAATTTGTGGCAAATTTTTGATTGGCTTTGCATCTCTACTGTCTTACGACCGACTCACTGGGCTTATTTACCCAGTATTTTCGACATGAATTGTCCGCTGCTCGTTACTCCTCCACTTACTGCGTCCAATTTCTACCATGCAATAAACAATTCTCTAACTTTTTAATTCAAAATTTTTGATGGTGGTTTCATTAGCTATTTCCCTTTTGATTCTTCACATTAATCGCATATTTTCCTTTTTGCGGCAGGTTACATTAGAAGCGTTTTTTATCCCTCATACACGCTAACATTGTTTTCAGTTTGTATATCTTATATTACCTCTGCTCTGAGTTGACGATGCTAGACTTTTGGTCACCATCAAGCATGCTGTGCATTGCGACACGTGGCTATCCTTTCCTGATGTTTGATTTTTAATATTGCTCACTAGCTCCAACTCATACTTCTGGTATCATACTGGTCTTCGATAGTGATTTGCTTAGGTTCCCGCACGAGGGCTCAGGCTCACTATTAATGCTTCTTAGTACTGTTTCCTGCTTTAAACACCGGTGCCTTGTATCATAGATTGCTCGCTAACCTTGTGAAATATTCTCGTTGAATATTTCGCTGTTCCTCTACTCTGGCGTGTGGCATGTCACTAAATCGGCTGACAATTAGGCGTGGTTATTACACGGTCGCTGTCAATTTCGACTCAGTCTGTCACAGGAGTGGACTCTGGTTTTTCGCAGCCATCCCCTTATGGCAGCTTCCGTACCTTTGAATTTGAATGGTATCCTAGCTACATTCTGCATCCAGCTTATGTCAGATATACTTTTCTGTCCAACAACATGTTTACTATTTTATTTGCTTTTGTGTTGACTTGGTTGTTTGAGCTAACCCCCAGCCCATTTGTGGCTTTTAAGACTCCCCACTTCCTCGAAGTTGATTTTTTCCCGTCTATCACCTCTAGCTTCTCCAAGCTCAACGAAATTGCAACCCTCAAGCTCTGATCATACAAACGAAGTGTCTAGGTAAGAAGGGAATATGCATCGTTAGTAGGGCTCGTTGCTTCTCATATTTAGTTGACAGTTTCTCCTGCAATTACTACTTACTCGGTTTTTATCTTCGTTTTGTGCCTAATGCTGGTGGTTTTTAAGCCAGCTCACTTTTCTTAAGTAATCACTGCCTTCCTGGCTTGTTTCTTTTCCTTTTTCGTATCAAGTCTGTCTGCTTTGGACCTAGGTTAAAAGCCACATTTTTATTTCCTTGTCTTTATTCCATCCTCGGGACAATAGATTTCAGATTGCTTCGCTTTACTACATTCTTTTTACTCTTCTGCATTTGGGTGCGGGATTTTAACTCTCGGGAGTAGGTTCAGTTTTCTTACAGCTTCAGTTACTTCCTTTTTCTTACGAATCTCTGCTATTTGCTGATTATTTGAGCCAAACAGCCTACTCCGTTCATTTAGTCTTTTTAGTATGCATACACTGGAGCCCCTTGCATCCAGCTGTACGAGCTATCCTCAGCTAAGTATGTTACAACCGTTTCTCTGTTCACTTTCACCTTTCGTAGTAGAGTTTTGCCGAGCTTATTGAGCTTAACCTTTAAGTTTCCTGATTTACATATGACAAACCGACGTCTCTCCTGAGCCTTTTGTGTTCTCTAGTAGCTCCATTGCGTTAGTCTCGTGGGTTCTACTATGCGTCCCCCCACGGTTTTGGCTTCTTTTGTTATCTCTGCTGTAACCGCAAATTGCCTCATCTTTAGCCCATCAGCACCTTCCAAGAAGTTACGGTTAAATGAGGATAATCAGTCGGCTAGTCCGAAATCTGAAAGTAAACAAAACGGCACCCAGTCTCGCACTCAGACTCCAACAGGCTCCGGCTCGCAAGCTACCATGTCTAGAGAACAAAACCTGAAGCGACCTCAGCGGAACCAACGATCGCAACATAACTCAGTAAGACTCGCTGTCGTTTTTATCCGTTGTTTTGCTCGTCGCTCTGGATGGGGAAATAGAAGCGGGGTGAAAATCCATTGACCATCGTTTTGGTGTGGGTTAATAATGTTTTCCTCATAATTATAGAGATCCGGAGTTCGACGTTTAAGGTCTCCGGCTTTCATTCCTTTTCTCCCTTGACGCTTGTTCTGTCAAAGCAACAATTCAGTCACTGTACTGAATGGGAAGCAATCGTTGTTTGTGCTTCATTGCTTGAGCTGACGACCCCTCATCTGTTTTTCTGATGCGATATTTTCACCTTGTCTCTACCAGTTTACATATTCATTATTCTACAAACAACTGGTTGCGTCTTCTGATGCTTATCTTTTCTACCCTGGAGCCTTCGTGGAAAATTGTCGTCACCATCATTGACAACAATGGGAATAAACATTTAAGAAACTGTGTCAACATAGACAAAAAGAACATTATGGACGAAGCTGCTTGGGCCGGTTATACTATTAGACCGCTAGCTGAGAGTTCAATACCTTCGACACCAATCCGAATCCTTGAATGTCTAGAAACAAGCAGAATTTGTTTGTGGTTGCCATTTTGTCCAGTTCGTTACTTTCATTGCCATTTCCCGATGGTATTTTTGAGATCAGTCTACAACAGTTTATTGGGTTACAGTGGTGTTAACTATTGTACTCTCGACCGCTCCCAGCTGTCGATGCGTTTCGCTTGGCTCCACGCACTGTGACGGCCTGTTTGATGTGACGTACTTGGTAGTAAAACTGTTCAAAGTAGACGCAGCAGCACTTTCACGGACTGATCGCGACTCTTGAGCCTGGCGTATATTATACTTCACTCAATCTGTTGAATACTATCTCCAATTGGTTTAGTTGTATCGTATGCGTAACCCAAACAAGTGATCAACCAACCAGCTAGACTCAGCCGTACTCATCTCTATCACGAGCCGGGAAAATGACAACTGTGGCGCACTGCACTAATGATTTTAATCCCATTGCTGAGCTGTGTACAGAAGTGAATTTTTAGACATCATTGGATAACTTGTCTCCCAGTCTTTAAGCTTTTGTCAGTGTGTATGCAGCTTATGTATAAATTTATCATTTCACCAACTTGAGGCTGTATGTTGACAGGAACACGACTTTACCCATCGCTCTGGTAGATTCTCTTATCGGTTTGCTCAGTTGTTGGTCAACCGAATTTCTTGTTCCTCCATATTTGAAGTCGAAATTGCAAGAGTGCTTGCATCCCATCCTGTCGACCGCCACCTCTTAATTGTGGACCCTAACCATTTGGCCCATTTCCAAGCACCGTTACTGGTGCCTATGCGTTGTTGACAATTATCAGTCTACTAAGCTCTTTTAGACTTAGTGAACTCCCTCAATCCTTAATTATCCACCTTTCAAACTTCATCGATTGACCTCACGAATTCTTTATTCCCTTGGCTTCCGTGCTGACCACCTTTCTGGCATCTAAATCTGTTACCATAGGCTGATTTCGTACCGTTATCCCTTAATGATTACCCGGCGTTCTGTACACCAATTCCTTTACATTTACACATGGACCTTAACATTCACTGGCCTTTATGCTGGGACCTGGGAATCCTGCAATGTCCTAGTACTCATCTTTTTGGCTGTATGTTGAGCCTTTTCACGATTTCGCATTTACTGCATCAATAGGATGTCGTTTTAGTTCCGACAGAGTCCCGTGTTGGTGCAATCAGAGGAGTCAAGTCATATGATGAAATGTTCTCATGCTCATCGTTTGATTGCATGGGGGGGCGTGCTTGATATGGTGCGCACCTGACTTAGATAAAACGCTCTCTTGCACGTATTCCACATCATATTGGCCGCCCAGATGTAGCTCATCAATGAACAATTTTTTTAACTTAAACATTCATAGTTAACGACAACAGAAGAAGAAATCAGGTAGTCACTGAACGGGTTAAGAAGCGTTTGAAGGTCCATGTGTTGTGTGAGCAGAGATCTTCCCGGTTGCCCAGGTCGACTAAGAGTGTTGACCTAAGGGACGCCACCCCGAGCCTTTGGCCATAAAAACTGACCCGCAAGCCAGCGGGGCGATTGATGAATCCCGTTGACAATTGCGTAGCTCATACGCCTTCTTTGGCTTCGGTGGCAGTCCACAGATAAGCTGGTGGCCAACAAGGCTGTTCAACTGCCCTCCGTTAGGTACTCACCTCTGGTTACTGAGGTGAGTTATCAGTGATCCTATAGCCGGTCACATTAACTCTAAAGCAGCGCTGTACGAGCTCTTGTGGTATTTGATGGATAACTAGGTGACCAGCCCATACTTCCCCACGCTCTGAAACGCTGCCGCTGATTGTCCGCGATTGCTATTCATCTCGATTGCACGACAAATGAGACTTCTTCTCAGTTGCCTCCACAGGGAGGGCGTTCCCCATTCCGCAACCTGGGGATGCGCGCGATAACGTACAGCTCCGCCGCTGGGTTCGGATTGTGTAAGCGTTCACGGAATACATTTGAAGGTCACTGGTCGCATATTCACGGTAGTGTTCCACCAGCCCGTAGCGCGAATATTCCAATTCGGATAATAGACGAGAAAAGAATAATTCCCTTAATATAGATTTGTTGTTCTATATCTAGCTATAAACAGTTATACTTCTTTTCTTTTCTGAATCTCCACCTTTATTCTGTATGCAGTGAACGCAAATAAATCCTCCTTTGCGATGGATGCAAAATGTTAAAGCGAACCTTTTAGATGGATGCACCGCTGCCATAGTGAAACATGTAGGTGTATATGGCTGCAAACGTCTTATGAAGCGTATATGCTGCGCTCCCACATCCGGCATTTGGGAATTTACAGCCGAAAACAGAAATTTAACCTTTATCTACAAAACAGAAGTCGTTCATTAAACCTAAAATAAAGTGAAATATTAATGCATTAAGCTTGTACTTAAGTTTTTACTTTCATTTGAAGGTGTCTTCACGCCAATAAGTTTATAACAAGCCCTTTCTTATGTCCGGTTGAAATGCAAACTGGTGGAGCATTACCCAGGTTCATCAGACTTAACCAACAGCAGGCAATTCCCCATGTGATAAATCCAGTAGCCTGCATGAACTTCAGTCTCTTCGCAGTCTCTGGAACTTATCGCTTCTCACCGGCGAATTCCGGTTTGAAAGCGAACACAATGAGACACGAAAATAGCTCCGGCAAAAACTGCGTGCCAGCCTGAAGAGAGACCGCGAATTTTGGTGGTCTCATGCGTCAGAATTGAAAGTGGTCGCTGCACTTAGTAACCATCGGAAATTATTCTGTCTGCTACGGAAAATGAGCAGCAGAAGACCTGGTGTTAGTGCAACTATTCATGACGAGAGTGGACTGCCTATCCACAGCTTCTCAGAACGCTTGGAGCAATGGGATGAGCACTTTGAAAGACAAATTAATGGGCCGGGCTTGTTCGATTCCTTACCGGCCAGTGATCGCCCTGCTCCCTGGGCTGTCCCTTTCGATCCACCCTCCCGCTAAGAAGTCGAACGCCACACCACACTGCTGAACTTGAATAAAGCGACGGGACCAGATGGTCTTCACCCAGCCCTCTTCAAATTCGCCTGCTCTGCACTTGTTAACGATTCACACGAGTTACTAGTGAAACTGAGAGCAGCAAACCATTTTCAAGTGGGCTCACTTTCGGAACGCGACAGCCATAGAGGAATCAGTCTGGTCTCCATCGATTACAAATTGCTTCCCTCTGTCATCCTTCACAGATTGATTGGCACTCATGAAGGCCAGATTGGTAAGTAGGAAGGCGGGTTTCGTCGAGGTCGGGGTTGCCTCGATTACATCTTTACTTTGTGCCAATTGTTTGAACACCGTCACATATATTGACGGCCCACCGTAGTTGTGTTCCTCGACATCAAAGGTGTCTTCGATTCGTTTGATCGATTTGCCCTTTAGGACTGTCTGCTAAGGAAAAGTGTTCTCGAGAAATATGCAAATATTATCCTAGCGCTTTACGCGCGTCGCTCGGGCAGAATGAGGTCTTGCGGCAAGCTGTCGCAACCCTCCCATATCTCTAGCGGTATGAGAGGGATGCCCGCTGTCACGTCCCCACTACAACTTCTCTGTTGACGAAGTCATGGAAATCGCGTTCACATGACACGAGCTGCTCCTAGGTGAACGAGTACTTTACTTGTAGTGACAGTTTTCAAACACCAAGCTGCACCGGACAGATTAGCACTGATTGTCAGTCGTTTCGGGCTTTGCTTTGCACTCTCGAAGTGCAAAGCTTTCCTCCAAAATTGGCAGGGACCGCCTCCTGCACTGACTGTTGGTGCAGATCAGCTAGAAGTCGTTCAGATATTCAACTACCTCAGCAGTTGTATCAGTGCCGTTGGAATTAAAGACGAGATCACAGACCATATAGCAAAAGCTCGGGGTGCTTCTGCTAATCTTCGCCACTTATGACGCCTGCACGACATCACTCTGTCCCTAAAGGGCAGATTGTACAATGCAGCTGTACGTTCGACCCCGCTATACGGTCGTGAAACGGCCATCAAATCGGTAGACGTAAATAGGCTTGTTACGTTTGATAACCGGTGCCTTCGCAGTTTGGTTCATATCTGGTGGGAACACCGTGTGAGCAATGAGCAAGCTCGATGCTTCGTTTATGGTACGGGAAGAAGAGGTGAACTGCTCAGCACTGTTATAGTACTCACCAAGCTCCGATGGGTGCGCCATGTGTTACTCATGTCAGCACACCGTCACCTGCGACGTGCGTTGTTTGCGATGCGATGGTGTGAATGGACGAAAAGGAGGGGTGACTTGGTCAAATGGCATGGAGGCCTTCACTTCGAAGTTGGATTCAGTTGAGGTCTCTCCGCTCCCTGTGATGGTGTGCACGTTTGACTGGATATACTTGATGACAAGACTAAGAATCGATCTCAGTGGCTTTTGTGTTGCGTTTTATGTCCTCCCGCTTAGCATCTCCTTCCAAACACGGTCCTATGATATAATAC